AAATAAGAACCAAGAGACTCATGTAATGTACAAGATCCCAATGATGAATGTAACTGTATTTTATACCTAAAATGTACCAATAAAGTTAATGGGGGGAGAAAAAGAAAGAAAGAAAATGCACCTAGGTGAGATGCCATACACCTTCAACTTTTGCACTCTGGGAGGCTGAGGTAGGAGAATCCCATGTTTGAACCCAACAATATACCAACTTAGCAAAATCTTGTCTCAAAATAAGAAATTAAGAGAAGGGAATGGAATTAATATGAGAAAATGAAAAATGGAAACAAAGTCTTTGTAAATAGGGAGGGAAGGAGGGGTTCAAGGGAGGGGAAGGGAAGGGGGAAAAAGAAGAACCAAGAGATATTATATAAAGGTGCAAATTTCCAATGATGAATGTCATTATATTGTATACCTAAAATGTACCAATAAAATAATATATTTTTTAAAGGGGGCTGGGGGTGTAGCTCAGTGCAAAAGCCCTGGGTTCAGTCTCCAATACCATAAAAAAATTGAAAGAAAGAAAAGAAATTGTACTGGATTAAATAAACAATAATCTTCATCAGAGCACCAGCACAAGGTAGAAAACTCACTTTACAAGGAAAAGCTACAATTACTGTGATAACATGAGTTAAAACTGATGTAAATGGGGCTGAGGGTATGGAGCCCTGGTGGTGGAGCCCTTGTCTAGCATACATGATACCCTGACTCTGACTCATAACTCTGAAAAACAACAAGATAAACAAGAAGCTGGGGAAGTGATATGGATAGAAATCAACTAGAATTCCCATTGTTGGTTCTGTTTCTAGCCCTTCAGATCATTCTGACTGGTGGCTGACCCTGCATAGCCTCGTTCTCCCCTCTCTCTCTCTCTCTCATCTGAAAATGAAAGGATCGGATATGATAAATATCAAAAACAATATCGATATGTTTAAATGCCATAGATAAGCACTGAAATTCCAGACTTTCGGACTCTAGAAGACCACAGGGAAATGCTCCCCTCTCCTAGCTGTCTCTTTGG